ATCATAACAAAAAAATAAAATATCTACTGTAACTTATTTTAAGTTTATGTAACAATATTTTTGCACTGATTTACGTGTTTGTGAAGTGTATCTACAGGTGATTGCGTACGAGCTCAAACTACAGTCCTACTGTATATGGTGTGTGGGCAGTAAGGGGATATATGTGGGGATGTGTTTAGGGAGTGGGGGTGTGGGTATGGTGGGTGGGTGTGGATGGGTGTGAGGTATGTGTTTGGGGTGGGGACTGTGGGAGGTTGTGGTGTTATGGTGGGTAGGGTGGGAGAGAGAGAGGGAGAAAGAGGGAATGCAAGAAGCACCCCCCACAGGCCAGGCCACTGGCTATATCGCATGTGGTTCTCACTGACTGCATGAGAGCTTCACGTGATGCAGCCAGGCAGACTGCATGCCCAGGCTCCACACTCCTGCCATCTCAACCTGGGTCCCTGCCAGCCCCAGGAGCCTGGCACAGGCTCTGTGCTCCCACCTGCCACCACCACTCCCCCACCATTACCCTGCTTTCCCTCCTGCACATCCACCTGCCACTGATCCTAGCCACTGCTCCCCGCTGCTTTCCTTTCCGTGGCCCCTCCCACAACTCCCCCCACCGCCACTTCCTGCAGCCCTTCCGCTGGTCCCTGTTGCTGCCTCTGCCACTTTGTGTCACTACCACTTCCCAGAGTGCCATTGCCACTTCCTGCCACTTCTGCTGCCACCACTGCCCGTGGCTCTCCCTGCCATCACCACTTCCTGCGGCAACCCCCCACTGCTCCCCAAGCTACCACCACTTCCCCTCCCCCTGTCCTCCGGCCTGCTCTGGCTCCATCCTGGCCAGCCCCATGCAGTTCCAGGCTGCTGGGCAGATCACAGTGGTTTCCTTTCCACTCACACTGAGGGAGGCAGGGAACAGCCCCAGGGTTGCCAGGGCAGAAGCTTCAGGCTTCCGGTTGGGGGTGGGAGGGAAGGTGGGGGGCTTGGGATGGTGTGGAGCCAGGCAGGCCGTGCTGCTCAGCCTCTGGGTCCTGCTGCTGGCTCCCCTTGGGTCCTGCTGTCACTGGGGCCGGTCATCTTTGACAGGCAACAGGAGCAGATAAAAATAAATTTTCTAAAATATTTAGGGGTCCCATGGGCCAGATAGAATGGCCTGGTGGGCCAGATGCAGCCCATGGGCCATATTTGGCCCACTCCTGGAGTAACCATTCTGAAGAGAAAAGGGTAGTATAAATCTCAGAAAGTCTGGTGATGGGGCCTTTGTACGTATTGTACCAAGACACATCTTGTCTCTAAATCAGTGGCTCTCGATCTTTTTAGACTCTGGACACCCCTGGAGAGACTTGAGGCACCTCTTGGAAAGTGCCAACTTGTAATTTTCACTCTTTTTTTGACCCCAGAAAATTAATAGAGTAGATTTTTCTGTTACAAATAACTCAAAAAGACTGTAACTATGGATTTCTATATGAAATCTCTTGATTTGTCTTTGGCACCCTGGCTGAGGATCATTGCTCTAGAGGTTACTGAAGTAGCTCTAATTTTCACTAATTCACACATTCTTGTTTCATCATTTTGTTGTGTAGGAGCCTGGATGAATTCATGCCACTGCACAACAAAAAGGGGGGAATCCCATTGTGCAGCCTTTAGTCTCCATCCTCTTACTGTTGCTCAGCAAAAATATGCTGGGTCCCTGCCAGTAAACCCTGAAACTCATGGTTTCAGTTACCCCTACACAAGGATAACTGTGAGTGATTGTACTGTTGGAGTCGTGTGAATGGCACAATGCCAGCATGGGGATACATTGCAAAGGTTTGATGTGGGTGAATACTCAAAAATGATTGGAATCAGTTTAAGTTTGCTAAACTAGGTGAGAAATCCCATGGTAAACTAGTTCCCTGGTAACTTTCGGTTTTCACTCTGACAGTATGGGAAGAGTAGATATTTTGTCCATGTTGCTTTGAAGTTGTGCTGTTGGTCTGTGCCAGAACTAAAAACCACAAAGCACAAATTTAGTTTTAATTAATTTTTGTATTCTGTTCAAGGTTTATGGGCAGGTCAGTATTAACTGTATCTGGTGTGCTTTTCTCATTCTTACTGACGTGGCACTTAAATCTCAGTTGGAATAGATTCAAGAATAAAACACCCTTCATGCATTGAGATGGGTGTTTTTCATGTGTTGATAGATGTTTTTCATGAGATGGGATAACAAAATACTGTATAGTGGCTGAAAGTGTCAGTTTTATTTTAGATAAACGTGCTTCTGTTTTTATTGATTTTCTTCATGCTGCACAGCAGAAAATAGACTCTAGCAACTTGTATTTTTCCCCAAACAGTATCACTTCACTGAACAGCAGAAGAGAGCTTAGTATTTGCTTCGTTGGTAAATGCTCTTTTCCCTTTTTATAGCCTGAGTCTTGCTCTTGTGGACATTATAGCTATTAGCAGCCTGTCAGTCAATAGTCTGTTTTTCTCCAGTGCACTGAAAGAATTTCAAGTTTCCTGAATAAAAGTGTTGCCTGGAGATGTATTTGCCTGTGTCTCTGTGTGTATATATATATGTATGTGTGTACATTTTATTAATTTATTTATAACTATTTATCTATTTCTATCTATCTATTTTTCAACAAAATATTTGTGCTAAGAATTCATCATGTTTTTTGACTAGCCTTCTTTTTCTTTGGGCTGCCATTTTGAGGATCTGGAGCACTTAGAATTATGCAACATTAAATACGTTCACTATATACTTCATTTGCAGCTGTGAGTAGTGAGCACCTGTGCCACTGGCTTATTGCATCAGCAGTGATTTAAAAAAATATTTTCTTCACATCATGCATCACTCGTAAATATTCAGTTACTATAGTAGAATTATGCAAAGAAATAAAGTAGCAATAATAGGCAACACATTTATAGTAAAATTTAAAAAACTAAATTTAAATATATTTTTGTGTCTCTAAGCCTTCAATCAAATATTTTTCTTTCGGTTGCAAAATAAATGCATCTTATTCTGATTTAATGACTGTCTCCTCTGCATATGTCTAATGTATTGTATCATCTCACAGTTTGTGCCTGTTAGGAAAAACGATGATAACTGTGATGATGTTTAATTGTTGACAATTAAGGAGAATGTTGGTTATTGTTTTACAATAGCACCTGGAATCAGGGCCTTATAAAGCTAAGTACTGCATGTGCACATAGTAAGAGACATTTCTTGCCTCATAAAGTTACTTACTGAGAGACAAAGTAGACCAAAGAATGAAGAAAGGAAGTAGTATTATCCTGATTTTATAGGTGAGGAATTGAAGTACAGGGAAAATTAAATAACTTGCCAAAGATAACATGGGCCAGCTACAGACATTACACTTTTACTGGTATAAGTGATTGGAAACCAATCTATACCTGTAACAGAACAGAAGTTCAGTACGCAAAACTGGTCTATACTTATAATAGAAGTTCAGCACAGACAGACTTGTTTAAAAATGGCAGAACCCAGTCTAATATTTGTCCATCCCCTATCTCTGCCACCAGAGGGTTAATGTGTGTTTTGTTTGCTACCGAGTTAAACTAAGTTGCTTACAGAAAACCACATCACTTAGACTGATTCTGCCTTGGGCTTTTTCAATGCCTGTACCTAGCCATAGGGAGTAAGTTTGTGACATAAAAGGGAATTTAATTTGGTTCTCCTTTATCCCAGGTCTGTGCCTTAGCAAGTAGACCATGATCTATTTTCTTTTGTTTTAACTTTTAATTAAGCTTGATTCCTGGTTAGGGCTATGTGGAATCACTGCAGTTTAATATAATAATAATAAAAGAATCATGTTTTGATAGTTTTAAGTTATGTCAAGAACAGTTGAAACAAATATCTGGATGATCTTTTATTGTGTGCAAATCCAAATAACTAAATGTATGTATGTATGTGTGTGTGTATCCCCAAATGCTCTATTGCAACCTTAATTAATAGTCATTGTCCTTCCTATAGAAGGGATTATATAATTTTCCAGTTATTCTAGTGATCTCTAAATATCTAGTACCATGCCAGAGATAGGTACTACATATGGGGCAAATTTCTTTGCCCTATATCTAGTACATGTGTAAGTGTATAATGCTAACTGATAGATTTATTGCCTTTTAAGAAGATTGAATGGCTAACCTCCTGACATTATTTTTCATGTTACATGTATGTTGATATTGAGACCATACCATCTCTCTCTCTCTTTCTTCTCGTCATTATACTTGACACCTAACTCTCATACACCATACCCTGCAAAGTAAGATAAGTAGATGCAACTGTCAGTCAGAAGACTCCAAGTCAGCATACCTGATATAATGATAGTTACTTCTAACCTTTTCAAATGCTTTCTACAAAGACCAAATATGAATATGAAAAAGCAAAATTTGTATGTTACCCTTTCTCCTGTTCCACCACAATATATCCCTTACTGTCATTGGTAGCAATATTGGTCTTATCATGGAAATCAGTATGATGGAACTTGCTGACTATTATAATTAAGATGAATTATCTGGAGGAGAGCTTCACTGCAGTTGTCTTGCCTGGGACAGGCAGTTCTTTTCTCCTCCATTGCCTGTTTTTTTGTTTTTTGTTATAACTTAGTGCCATCTTCACTTTCTGCTTGTGCCTGTAGTTATGGGAGCATAACAAATGACCCCTCGTCATTGAGGGAACAGATCAGGTACACTTCTCAGCAACCAGATGGGGATTTATTCAACAAAGGAAATGACCCTATGAGCAGGCTTTGCTGCAGTACAGACTGGTTGCGATAGCCCTATTCTCAGCAGCATATATGAATAGTAGTCAGGATGGCTTTTCTTGCCTGGAAAAAGCTTCTATATAAGTAAAATGGTGCCTGCTCCTAGGCTTTTGACTAAATTAATTTTTTGTGAAAATGATATGATTTCTGCAGGGGAAAAAATCAACTTTTTTTAAAATATGAACACCTGAAACTCCAGATGTTCAGTCATACCATTTCTGACACCACACAAGAATGCTAATTTAGAAATGTCACTGCTGGGTCCCCTGGAAGGAGATGTTTGGTGGCCTAATTCATGCCTTTGAACTGGATTGTCAAGACAGTCATAATCTCTTTTGATGAGTTATAGACAGGAACTCTCTCAGTGCTATGTGGTAAATCAGCAAGTAGGGTGGCCATGTTTGAAAGAATCTCAGCCCTTTTTGAAAGAAAATAATTAAAATAAATTGTTGATTTAAAAAAAATTCTGTTTTCCTAACTCAAAAAATTAAGGTAATGCAATAAAACCCCATCGTTTCTTAATCCAACCCCATTCCTTAATACATCCCATATCTTCCCTGGGCAATCTGTCCATAATAGCTTCTTCTCTGGTGGCCATTTCTGGGGGGTCACCTCAGGGTGTGGGAGAAGCCAGGAAACCATAATCTGAGAGATCTGTTTGGGGAATTGAGTCGGGGATCCAGAGAGTCAGGCAGAATGCAAGGTCAGAGGGCTAATTGGGTTAGGGTATCTGGAAGATCAGCCCAGAGCCAGGCCAGGTATCCAGAGGGTCAGGCAGAGAGTGAGGTTGGGAGGCTAGCCAGGTGAGGTATCCAAAGGATCTGTCAGTCAGTAGCAGCACAAGCCAATGGTGCACAAACTAGATACAAGATGGAACTTTGTTGGGCAGATACTTCCTCTACCTGCTCAGAGATTTCATACTGGAAGGGATGAGGGGATAAGCTGACTCAATCTGGCCACTCCAGTGGCAGGGAGTGGGCATATGGCTATGTCCCAGCTACAGGGTTCTGGCCATCTGTGTCTGCCCCAAAGCTCTGCTGTGGAGGTGGCAGACCAGGATGAGTGATCATGCCAGGCAGGCTGGGGCTCCAGTTTGAAGGCAACACCCTGCTACTTTCTGCGTGGAAAATCAGCATTCTTCTCTTGTACTGGATGCTATATTTTCTTTCATGCAACATGCATTTCCCCCCCCCC